GTCAGGGTTAGTTGAAGTAAACCTGCTAGGGGGCAGGTTAGTTTCACGGAGTGTGTCGTCATAGTAACTCACTCAGAATTAATCTAAACTCGCTTTGTGAAACCGAAAACCCAGAGTTTTCGTTAACTCAGGGTATACTTACTCAGAGTTTGCACTAAACCGGCTTCCTGAAATAGGGCCCTGGGGCCAGAGCTGAAACTGTTCTGGGCCAGCACAGGACCAGCAGTGTGTCTGCAACTGGCCTTGTGCTGGACCATGTATGGGCCACATCTGGCAAACCAGATGTGGGCCACCAAAGGGCCGTCATTTTTTGTGGTATGTGGGCAATGTGTAAGCACATTGTGTGGGCCAGATCCGGGCCATACCAATTTTGCTATGTGGGTAATATTTAGGTCCGGCCATAAAAACAAATACACCACATTTAAGTAAAGTGCAGTAATTTCCTAACTTAGTACATGGAAAGAACATCTTCATTTCAAATAAACTGTTTTACCATTTAAACCGTAACGTGTAATAACCTAACATAAGTATTTCTAATAATAAAAATAATTCTACATGTAGATGCATTTCTTTTCTATTAGCTGGTTCCTAAAGCTGACAACTAAAACTATGGACTGATTGATCTAGAATCAGGCATTGCTGTATAGACATTAACTGGTCATGTGGATAATGATTAGCTGCAGCCCTAGTTAGATTTCCAGAGTATCCATGCTATAACACATCACTAAACGAGTGCAGGAGCCTAAAGTATGAAGGCATGTCTGGTAGAATGTACATTACATGTTGTTGCAGTCTCCAACTGAGGGTTCAATCTGAGATGTTGAAATTCACCAATGAATGAATGGTCAAAATTCTCATGAGTGTGTGTGCATGTGGTGTGCACAAACCAGATTGTGAGCTGCAGAAAGGTGGGGGGGAGTCTGAGGAGGAGCTTATTTAGGCTTACATAATGGAAGTGCTAACCTAACCTGACTCTGTGTGTGAGAGAGAGTTGTACAGGCGACACGCTCTCCATTTCTCTCTCTCAGTCGTGCACAGCAGGGTATGAGAGCTGATGGTTTATTGATGCCTAGCGGCTTGTGTTGGTGTATGCATTTTATAGACAGAGTGAGAGGGGAGGCATTGTCACAACACTGCTGTCGTTTAGCGAGGGAACGCATCTGAAATCCAGCAGTGGTAAGCTGTGTAGGTATGGACATAGCTGCTCTGCATCAGGGTTACTCCAACAACCTCTATTCGCCTCACTACCAGGTAGGATCATTCGTTAGATTTTTTTTTTTTTTTTTTTTTTTTTTTTTTTTTTAGCACATCAAACTGAGAGGAAAACCTTCAGTGCTGCAGTCATTTTCTAATACAGTAGTATCTCTTGGTCATTGTAAGCAGGTGAATGATCCTTGCCTGTGCCTGTAACCTATTGGATAATTCTGTATTTTGTGCTTGTTTGTGTGTCTTCATGTGTTTATGCATTCAATTTGGACATTATTATAATAGAATTAAAAAACTCTGAAACTCAGCTGCAGTTAATATCACAATGTGTAAATGTGCAAATGGAAACATGCTCTAAAAGGCTAGCATGAGGTTTTTATAATGTATTTATTTTCTTTTTTGTTTCAGCAAAAACATAGACTTCAAAGTCATACTCGTTAATTAATTATTGACTGGCGCTGTTCTAAAGCAGCTGATATCACAGCGCTGTATGTGTCCGAGAAGCGCTTTGAAGCTTCAGGAGTGATTTCAGATGTGTTTGGAATCTCTGCCATGTGACTCAAATGGGAAACAAAAAAGTTTGCTTGCAGTGAAGTTGAAGGAATAGATCTTTCTGGGGCTTTTATTTTTAGTTCCAGCTCATGCTGCTGTCTGCTTGCCTCTTTGGTCTGCTGGTGTATTTTAGGTATTACCTCTGGTCTCACTCTTAGTGACCCAGATATTCTTTTTTTCTTACTGCAGTTTTCTTGAATTCAAACCAAGGAATGCAACGATCATTTGGAACAAGATGTTGAATATATCTGTGTGTTTTGTAGAGCTCAAAAATGTTGCTGGAATTTAAATAAGGGAGAGAAGGAGAGAATTAAACCATAGACAATCATGTGTGTGGTCACTGTCTTAACCCCAGCTTTGGGGATTATCCCAGCCAGTAAATACCTTGATAATTGATTAGATGGGGATTCAGATAAATCGACAGTCACTACTTTCAGCTTCTGTGCTTTATGGACAGTTTTTCACCTTTGCTTTCATTTTTTTTGTGAAAGAAAGATCATAAACATGTCTTTAGTAGGACAGGGATTTCTGTTGATATATGGACGAATGAGAAGTGGAGTTTTATATTGTTAACTGACTGTTACATACGCAATGTTATGAAGAAATCTAAAATTAATTTTTTTTTGTTTTGTTTTTTTCTTGCTTCATTCTCTTGGTATTGAATTCTGACTTTCCTTTTCCTGTTTAAGGTAACTTCTTTGTTTGAGCTATTTATGCATAGCATTTACACAGGTAGGCCAAACACTCATATCCCTCACTAGTGATAAAAAGCCTGAAATGAGACATTTCACACTGAAGTAATGAGGTAGAAGAACAAAACCAAACTCTTTAAAATTGCAGAGCATCACTGTTAGAACAAAAACTCCTTTGAGTAATTGCAGCTTTAATTACAGCCAAGATGAAATAAGCATAAATACTCCAGACGGGATCCAAAAATCACTGACCAGCACACAATTGCAATATTTGTTTGTTTCCTCTAGAGAAATAATAATAAGGATCAGGTGTAATCTTGTATACCTGTAGTCCCTGTGTCTTTCTCACCCTCTTTCCTTTCTTCCATCTTGCTCCTCTTCAGCTTGAGGCTTTGAAACAGCAGAACTCCAAATATCAGGAAGAGCTCAGTCTGTCAAAAGAGGGGAGCAGCTCAGAAAACCAGCGTATTGGCATCCTCTGCAAGGAAATGTGAGTATTCATGATAACTAATGTGTTTTTTCCTGCCTCTTGCCTCCCGTAAAGGTGACCCCCAGCCAGCCAGTTCATTAGTTTGGAGCTGCTAAATTTGTCCTGGGGGCCAAATGTTCATTAAAAATCCAGTCTGCATTTTCAAGCTCTAATTCCGCTCAGTAAGGACTGTGTGAGAATGTGGCTTGACAGTTGTTAGTTGTTACCTTAATGGGTCAAAAATACTTTTATTTTTATAGCTGAAATGTCAAATGTGCTGTTGAATTGGCAACATGTGTAACTCTCTAGAGAGATGCTTCCACTTGTAAATATGCTCTAAATTGTTGTGGAAAGTACAATTAGTCAGAGCATGCTGTTGTGTGATAATGGATGTGGAGGACAATGTACAATACTGTTTAGAAACACAGCAAAGAAAGCCCATTTGCGTAGTACTCCTATTAAACATTCCTGAATCATGACATCTGACTGGAAATTTAGATTGAGTGTGCATTCATTATTCAGGTTTGAGATCCTTAACTGTACAATCCACGTTATGGTTTTTACATTTCTGGATGTATATGTTTTTGACGGTGTGTCTTCACAGATGCTTAAAAAGTCTGAGAGCCATTTATGCAAAATTAAGGCCTTAACTATACTTAAAAATGTCACAAAATGTGATCCTGAAATATCTTGATTGAATCTGCAGTTTTGTCGACACAGTAATCTCACATGTCAACTTTTGGCTGCTTGCTCATTTACATCAGGTCTTCACAGCAGGTAGCTCCGCATGTTTGATTCGGCAGATGTTTTATGACAGCTGCCTTTTCTGATGGGATTTACATCGTCTCCTGGGATTGAACTGATTGAACATGGAAATAATAATCAACCCCTTCTTCCAAAAATAGTAGAGAAGCTGTATGTGTGAAAATAGTGAATCATGAACCTTAGCCACATGATCCTTATATCTTGACTTTTCTCTGCTCAAGTTCATTTAAAACATTATCTGAATTAAAATTGGACATTTTTTTACAGCGTGTTATCTACATTATTAATTCCTTCTATGTGTTCGGTGTTGACATGTAGATGTGGAAAGTCTTTCATTTGCACTGACTCAGCAGTATATCTTTGGTTGTAAGCTGAAACATGGTGCTTTTGATTCAGGATAAAAGTATTCTCTCTTCTTATGGCATATTTTTTCTTCTTTTCTTTCCTGTTTTTTTGTTTCTGGTGAAGTTCCAGTCTGCCGCTGAGCTCTATTTATAGAGCTTGCGTTTCTCTCAAGCTGTCAAGTACCTCTGTGTACATGTGTAAATATGTAGTGTGTCCATGCGTGTGTTTTTGGAGCCTTTACATCATCCTGCCACATGTCCCCTTGAGTCATCAGAACCCTTAAATTGCAATGTCAGAGCTCCACATGGATTTAACTGGCTGGATTATAGTCATCAATATGTAGCATGTAGAGGCAGCAAATGGAGATGAAAAATGTCAACAAATGACATCAGTTACAGTGTAACGGTTCCAGTCTCCTCAAGCACAATTTTGTCTTTTTTTTCTGCCTTTGCCTAAATAATTGAAAATAAAAGCTCTCTAAATGGATGATTCATGTCACAGTCTTATATTGTTGTTTTACATTTTCTTTCCCTCCACCTCCACCCCGCCTTGTCCCAACAATGTTTTCCGCCATCCTTTTTGAGGCACGTCCTTCCTCACTCTGCTCCTGTTATGTAATCCCTCCTCTCCTCCTAGGACCGCCTGGCTCCGACATGGCTATTTCTCTTGTTGTGACATCAGCATGTGCGTGTGTTCTGTGTGTGTGTGTGTGAGAGAGAGAGAGAGAGAGAGAGACAGCAAGAGAGAGGGTTTTCAGGCTTGTACGGAAACAAGGTGGCTTTGTGCTATGAAAGAACAGCTGTAAACATTGTGGCTCACATACGTGTCATGATTGTAATATTTTGGTGCTGCTGTAATTTTATCTTTGAAGGCCAAAAATATTGTTCATTAACTTCATTTGGTTTACATATTTTTTTTATGCTTTCGTTTCTTTCACTTTTTCTTTTACTGTTAAAACGGTCACACAGGGGGTGTTAAGGTAGAGAACTCAGCTGTAGGCCACCTGCGTTATGGAAGAGTGCAGAAAATTGGATTTGCAGTATAAATAAACAGTTCAGATGATGTTTATATTTGTCACAGCTGTGGGATTCATGAAAGCGAGAGATGATTGTCTGAAATCAGCATCAAAATTAGCTTTGCGAAGAAAGTATTCAGTCATAGTCTTGTTTGAAATAACACTCTTGACAGCAAGCAGACACACTACATGAGACATGTCACTTATTTTTCAGGCTGTTCTTTCTTGTAAATAGATGGCTCATTATGTGAGAATATGTATGTCTTCAGAGTGTACTTCTGTATGTCTTTACACTAAGAGAAAGAATACACTTATGGGGGCATTTTTTTCAGGTTTTAGGCAAGTATGCAGCCGTTTTAATGACCCAGTCCAGTTGAGATCAAATTGTGCTTTATGTGGAATATGAATTAAAGTGATCATGCATTTAAATAATCATCGATTTCCTGCAGTGTGAAGGCAGCAAAAGATATTTAGATCTGTAAGCATGGTCTGTCCGTCTTTTATCTAAAGCAGGAGTGGTAAACTCATTTTACATCATGCCCTATTTTTTACTATCTAAAAAAATGTATTGTAGAATTAGAATTTAAAAATATAATTTAGAATAGATATTCTATTGTTAACAATGACAAAAAAACTGTTTGCTGTTATTCAACTGCTAACCTGCTGATATTTAGCAGGTGAAATGTTGACATTTTCCTCATCTCATTTAATTATTTTAGCATGTTAAAATGAATAATTAGTACCTAACACAAAGCACAACTGGAACTGAGACGAGAGGTTTGTGATGTCCTCTGAACACAGAATATGCAAAAAGAACTGCACAGTGGAGCGCACTGTTGTGTTAGAGTGCAGGATGCTATAGAGGCATGGGGAATGTAATTATACTGCAGACAGCTAAATATTTCACCCAGATGGTGCTGTGATTGGGCTATTAGTCACACATAGCTTCAGAGTTTTAACTTTGACACAAATCCTAAGAATGACCCACATGGGGCTAAACTCATTTTCCTGAACAAATCATTTAGTTCCGGCATCCAAAAATATCCAGATTCATAAATTCCCTGACAACACTGTCTATGCTGCTGGCTTTTTTATATACAGTAGTCAAATAGTGTAGTGTAGGTAGGTTAGTTGTAAAGCACTACAGTATATAAACTACTCCTTTAAAATAGGACTGTGTCATGAGTGAATGTAGGCAGCAGACACAGAACTACACGTGTCTTTCTAAGTGATGAGAGCTAATATGTAGATTAGCTCATCACGTTTCACTACTTTAAGATTTAGGATTGTTGTGCAAAATGTTTGACTTTTTTGGTTATATTTTCAGAAACTAATAAATGTCAGAGATCAGTTTCATCACAATCATGGCTGTATGAAAATTGTCTGTATATACAGCATATAATGTACACTGACAATCTCACATTCAGTTTACACTGAAGTCAGGTCAGTGGTCAGTGGCCATTGCTCTTGGCACAGAGGGTTGTTCATTTTAGTTGTAGCCTGATCTCTTTATATCAGAGAATACTTAACATAGATTATGTACATTTTAGAAAATGACGTCACGGTGGTGGTTCATCCTTTATACTGTCAATATCTTGAACTGTGCCTCCCATAAGAGATTTCGGAGACCGAAGAAGTCACTTGGATGAGCGACGAAACGTTTCTCTCACTGAAAATCGTACATCTAGATGAACAGAATCAACCTTTTGGGATTTACTTACCTGGATGATTGAGCATACATCAAAACATCTTAAACTGTGGTGGCCCTCTACCTCCCTATATTTGTACTGCTAACTTCATGACCATTAATATGTTAAAGCCTCACCCAGGCCCAGAGAGCTAGGTTCGTGAAAGAGCTTCTGAAAATTTTCTGTGCTGCTTTTGTGGGAGGGGCAAACAGCACTCTCTGATCGTCCCTGCTCAGACATCACAGACATAGAAATAGCTTTTCAAAAGTCTGAGAATGGTTTCCAAATATACATCCATCGTGTTTTGAAACAATCTATTTGAAGTAATGATTAACTTTTTTTTAAGATCCACTGAGCATTTTTACAGATATCTCTTATTTAGTGACAGTTATAGACATGAACTGAAAGTTCAGAATTCTAATTCAGAAATAGGAAAATAACAATTGCCCAAATATCACAGCTGGGTAGAAAAGCTGAGTCCATGAGCAAGTTGAGTTTTCATAGTTAGCTCAGACATGTCTGAATAACAGCTGGACACTGCTGTAGAGATTTTTGTAATCAGTAAAGAATAGAAGAAAGAAGTTAGTGAGGTGTTTACACAAACTGCAGATAAACGCAGTTCCTGTAGTGGAGGCCAGTGTGTTCTTAGGGACATACTTTTTTGGTTTCTCAGCACGACCAATGAAAGACTGCACTGAAGTTTGTAGAAAAGAAGATGGCCTGAATATGATGTAATACTTAAGCTCTTTGTAGCTGTTTCTACACATTAACTCCAGCCCTGAACTTTTCTATGGTTTACCACACAGAGATGTGTGCAAATGTAAATGTCAGCCACATTCAAATTAGACTAAGTTGAAAACTATTCTCTAAATAAAATGGGTTATCTTCTCAAAATTTTGGCTCACTCAGTATCTGGAAATTTCAAATAGTAATCAGCTACAACTGTCTGTGTTGTTAATTGTTAACAATCCAAACTGGTGAGTCATACAGTTGTTATGATGGAAGGTGTTGATTTTTGACTGCTAGCATATAATCAGCTTTTAGCAATTTCACATTGGCTTTATTATTTTCAGGTCAAGATCCATCAGTAAGATCCATCAGTGGCTTTGCACTTTAGTGTACTTTCACATTAGCCTCAGAATCAAGCCTGTTGCCTCTGGTTGATGCCATATGTAGCTCTCAATCACCATTTGGGTTGGCTGCTTGGTCAGTGCATCTCCTGTAGAGAGATGCGATTTAATGGGAGAACATGTACAGCTTATAAAACAAACAGCAATATGAATCTCTCCTAATAACCCCTGTGTGCTTTTATTTACTTCAGATGTTGTGTGATCATATTATAGTCTTTAGATTAGGGAGTGTCAGCTGGCAAGGACATCTGTGTCTTTTGAGAGTTGAAGGGAACTAATGGGTGCTCAACATGAACATTTCATCATTGAAATTAGGGGTGCAACGATACAGAAAATTCACGGTTCGGTTCGATACTTTGGTGTCACGGTTCGATATTTCGATACAAAAAATGTTCATGCTTTTTTAATTTGTCATTTATTAAAATTATAAATATATATTTTAACTCAAAAGTACAGTTTTTATATTTAATGTTGCTGAAACAACAAAGTAATAAAAAAAAATAAATCTCTCTGATCGAGAAATCACTCATCTTTGGAAAAGAGAGTTTATTACAGAGAAATGGCTCTTTCCAAAATAAAAGCTATACTATAAGCTTCTTCTGGGCTATATTCTCAGCAGCATATTAAGAATCATGTGCTAACGGCTGTCTAAATGACTCGGGTAAAGTTTGTAGCATGCGTGCTTGTTGTTTTTGTCTTCCACTTGTCTTTGCACTAGGATGATGTCGGTGTAAATGTGCAGTCATATTCATTGTGTTCCCACTAGTGCTGTCAGCGTTAATCTGAAATGACGTTAACGCCACAACACGGCAAATCTCCGTTAACGAGCTACCGTGAATCGCCCCGTGCGTGGGGCTGGACGGCGTCAACACATTAACGAGCTGACTGTGCTAACGCAGTAGTTCCCACCCATGTAATTGAGCATTGCGTGGCACATCCGACATACTGTTTTACTTTTGTCCATGATGCGCTTACCTTCAGGGTCATACTTCACATGAAGACCAAAATAGTTCCAAAGGCCAGATCTGAATGAGGATGGGGGAGGTTCAATTTGCCATGTTAGCTTCTGTCTTGCTAGCTTGCGCTGCGCTTAGTGGATCTGCACTCGACAGTGCAGCCTAGGCGGAGTAGTCAAACGCAGATCCACTGAGCTCTCAACACAGACAGCATCGTCAGAAGAAAAGTTGATAAAATAAATTAAAAATTTTGTATTGTTCGATACATATGCGTACCGAACCGAAAGCACTGTATCGAACGGTTCAATATCGATACGAGTGTCGTTGCACCCCTAATTGAAATGTATTCATCATTTCATCATTTACAAAATTAGCCTCTAATATATTTGTTGTGTATATCAGTAATGATTCTTGTAGCAGTACAAAGTCATTAAGCATTAGAATATTTAGCCAGATGTGTATTGGATATGCTTACTTGGGTTTGTATAGGTGAGATGTTAACAGATGTGAATATCTGGGAATCACCAGGTTTAAGCATATAGCAGTGTTGGTGACACAGACATCACTGGGACCCGACTACACTGCCTTTAGTGCAGCCCTCAAAATGTGTGAATTGTCTTTTCTTTCCCTAGTGAGGAGCTGAAGCTGGCATCCCACAAGTCTCAGCATCCTGATGAGGTATTGACCTTTTTAACTTTCTTATTATGTAAATGCTTTTCCTTTATCCTGTTAGAGATCAGGGTTTTGGCCTAATGAGGTTTTATCTCCTGCTGTGACTAAATTGTTGAAGCTAAGACGGGTTTAGATTCTATTTAAATACTTCTATATTTTGTCTGTGTGTGTGTTTACGCCTCAGCACAACGAGGATCACAGCTGTCAGCAGCCAGACATGAAGACCAGGTTAGATACTATGAAATATGTGCTTCAAATTTTGAATGTTGATTTTCTGACTTTTTAATATATTTTCCTGTTTAGTTTTTAAACATTGAACATAGAATGTTATAGTGTTCGTCACTGTATCTCTCAGTAATTCCTCTGCTGATGCATCTAAAACTAATGTAACAACCTATAAAAGACTACAGCCAACATCAGTAATGATGTCATATCTTTCATTTTTTAGCAAATAACCATTTAACTCATTTTTAAAAAGTGAAAAATTAGTTGTTTCCCAAAGATGAGGGGCAGCACCAAATTCCTCTATAACATAAATAATCATTAATTGATATGAATATGTATGAAAGTATGACTCATGCAACCCTACTTCAGTAGAGTTCAAGAATACAATGAACTCAATGTGAAAATGAACACACTTGGTCCCCTTTAACTCTCCAACTATAAACTAGCACAACACAGTAGCTATAACAACAAGCAGCTAAACAAAGATACACACAAAGCCATCAAAACAACACTAAACAGCTTCTGAAGTCATTATCAGGAATGACCAGAAATAAAACCACAGTATTATAATGTTTTCGTTCCTTAAGTGCTGGTTGATTATTCAAATATTGACATTAGGAGATTGATTCCTTTGGAGATTTGGAGGGTAGCTTTAATGTGACGTGGTTCCTCTAATGGGACTCCCTTCTGTACTTACACACATCCCTCTGTTGACTGCTGGACTGTTTTTTCTTATCAGAGATGAGCCAGAGTTACATCTGTATTGTAGTCCTGGTAACAGAGCTGATGAAGAGCTAAAGTGTGAAACTTGGTGTGAAAGTCTGTAGATAAAAATCAAAGTCTCTCTGGTTTGTTGCTGAAGGTTTAATTAAAGACTGGGAAAAAAGAAGTATAATAAGAGATTGTAACCAAGTAACTTGCTGACTAACTGATTGTTGGCTCCAGCTTCATACTCGGTCAACAGCTATGAGTGCAGGATTGATCTCTGATCATCAGGATATAAGAGGCTGTGTGACCAATGTCATTTTTGCACATCTGGATGTTTTCTTCAGAAAACAACTAGCTTTAAGAAGTTTTTATCAGAGTCAACTGGTAATTTTATACTTGCAGTTTTTATGTCCTGTTCACCACTTAAAATTGAGATTATTAGAGATTAGTTTTAAAAAGTGCTTCAAATAACTCCCCACATAACTGAGAGGAGAGGTTTTAAGATTACTCCTGAGGAGACAGACTTGCATCTAGAAAGACTTGATTGCTATCTATTTGAGAGACTCACTATGAACAAAGTCCTCTTCCAGTCATTATCTTTCATATTAATGTTCTGGTCAAACGACCAGGGGCAGCATAATGCTGGGATCCTTGGCACTGTGCCTCACAGCAAAAATGCCCTGGGTTTGAAATAACCACCCAGTTTGGCTGTCAAGTGGCATATGGACGATCTACATGTGACTGCATGGGTTCTCTCCAGGTGCTCAGTACAAAAACATGCACATGAACTCATCGTAAACGGCCCTAGGTGTGAAAGGTTGTCTATGTATCTGCATTAGTCCTGTGAGGAACCTGGTGATCTGTCCAGGGTGTAACATCCCTTTGGTCCCATTAAAACTAGGATAGGTTCCAATCAACCCTGAAGTGGATAAACCGTTAAGAAAATGGAAGGATTGTACAGCATAGAGTATAAAAAAAAAAAAAATGGACAAAGATATGACTATTACAAAAGAAGAAGAGCAGCCTCTGAATCTTTCAAATCATAAGACATAAGGGCACTCTTTGTTTAAATAAAAAAAAGAAACTCAACTGAATATCTTTGGATATTAGACTTATAGTCAGGTAAACCAAGCAATATGAATATGTCACTTTGGGATTTAGTTCCAGGCCACGTTGCATTAGTACTGTGTTTTTTCTTTTAGTATTCCCAGATTTGCTCTTAGTTGGATAACATTTGATTTTTTTAAAATGTAATTTTAGTTCCTTCATCTATTTACTGTGACGCTGTTTGGTCTTATTTTAAGCCTTGTCTAAGTCTTGAAACAAAAGAAGCTGTGAATATCACTTCTGTGGCCCTGTGCCAGTCATAAACAGAAACACTGTGTTTTTAGTGATCAGGATATTAAAACATCCCACCACTTATGGAGACCAGTGACTTAAGTTCTGAGTGAAAGGCACAGTCTAACATCAAAGACAAATATGTGGTGTAAGATCAGAGTGAAGTGAAGTCAAAAAGATGTAAGATGAACTGGCAGCTCTGCAGTTTTGGCTCGAGGGGAATGGCAAGGTTGCATACAATTAGAGCAGAAATAATAGATGTGGCGGGAGAGAGTGTTTTAAAGTAAACATTAAGAGACATGAGAGATGATTCAGTGAAACAAACTGCTCTCCTTCTCTTTGGTTTGTCAAGACTGCTGGAACGGATATGTTGCCGGAGTGTCAGCTGGTTGCTACTATTCTGTTGTAAGTGTTTTTTGGCAATCGGTGATAAAATCTGCTAAAATACAGCTAAGATGATTATTCAGGTGCTACATCTTTCAGACTCTGAAAGCCCCAGTTTATATGGGAAATATTAAAGTTCATGACAGCACGATTACTGCACTTGTTCGGAGGGGTTGCCAGAAGAAAGCTTCTCTCTATAAAGAGAGCTTTGCAAAGTTGCATATGAACAAACTGCAAAACTTCTGGAACAATGTCCTTTGGACAAATTTGAGCATAGTCAAGTCAAGTCATTTTTATCTATATGTCACATTTTTCAAACAACAGAAGTTGAACCAGTGCTTTACTGATACACTTATTTGCCAGGGCTCCAAGTACTAAGTTCTAAAACTGGTAAAAACAATTACAAAACACAGACCTCACAGGGCAACATGACAAGGATAATAACTCATTTCCAACAATGGTAAAACAATGATTCAGGATTCAGAAGACTTTATTTATCCCCAAGGGGCAATTAAGAGACTGACCATGCCGACCGTACATACAATACACAAACATCACATTGGGGAGACAGGTCAGGCTTGGTAGCTGGCCGGTCAGCCGCACGAGCAGCGACCCGGAACCGGACAACAATGGAAAATGCACAACATGAGGAAAGACGAGGAGAAAAAAAGAACTCCCCCCAGCTTGGGTTCCACCGGGGGGTTCGTTTTGGGACCGGAAAAAACCTCAGCACATGAATCATCACATCTCACAACATGGAAGACATGAGCTTTGAAGGCGTATGGAGGGGGTGGGGGGTGAGTGTAGGTCTGTGTCAGTGTACATGTGTATATGTGTATATGTGCGTCGGTGTGTTTGTGTTCCGTGTTCAACCGAGAGAAAGTGTCCCTTCACCTGGTTAAGCAAAAGTCAACAATCTTCGGTCGACGCGGGTGAGGAGGGAGAGAGTCATAACAAACAGTCTTATTATCTAGGGAGAATTGTTATGAGCATCCAGCTGGCGCCAGGGGGGCTACATGAGATGAAGATGGTAGTTGTTTTGGTTAGTGCGAACAAACTGCTTCCAATTTTACAGTTGGTCTAATGTCCGTCACTGGCCACCAGGTCTCTCAATTCCTGTTGTTCTTCTTCAAGATGTTATCCATATTACGTTTAAAAAAAAACACACACAGTCTGAGTACTCACAGCCCTGCCCATCGTCTATCATGTCGGCAACCCTTGTGGTATTTTGAACAGCTGTAGTTGCTTCTTATTCTTCGATAAGCCAGCTCCAAGCCAGCTCCAATCAGCTTGAACTCTGTTACCGTAGTTCCAAATTGGTAGATGTCATTCAAAGTCCTCCATCGAGAGTGTCGCCAGACACACGACGCAACTGACCATCGAGTATCCGGCAGCAAACGTCTCTGCAGGACAATCGGGCTCTCCCAAGCCCAGGAGGGTGTCAATTCCGTTAAGGGACCAGTTGATCAAATCCATAATTCTTCTTTATGTTTTTAGAGAACAAGTCTGGGAGACTCTCTTAGGGTTAGAGAATAAGCAAGACTATACGAAAGACATGAGAAGCCAAGCAGGAAAGATAAGGGAGAAGGAGAAAGTGCGACCGCCTCCGTCAAGCGACTGAGATGTGTCAGTAAAAGCATGAATATAAAAAAAACATTTATTCCAAATAGTCAAGAACAAAATTTAATGGTAGCTCTAAATAATTTTGGACTAGCATACTATCATGTGATGACACTAATAAATATTCTGCTATAAAAGGGGTCTTGTCACAATTTCAGAAAGAGAGCCATTTAAAGAAATGAGTTTATTCCTTGCCTTGGATTAATACTGAGTGTAAACAGCTTATGAGACTCAGAGACCAGTTACTTAAAAAATTGTTACAATCTGGATTAAATACCGATCGATTAAATTTTATATCTGCAAGGATTAAAGTCACACAAACTTTGAGAATTGCAAAAGCAAATTTTTTCATGACTAATTAATAGTGCCAAAGGAAATTGTAAGCTAATTTGGGAAAATATTAACAAACAGTAAGCATAATGCTGATAAAGACCTTGAACTTAAATTTGCCAGTGAACTGGTATCAGAGCCTCTCAGCCTCGCTACTAAATTAAATGATTTTTTTCCTTTCCATTTCCAAGTACCATT